ATGTTGTGTTTTTGTTGTTCTCGCTCACATACCACACCCGCGTATCTACGATCCATGTATTCCCTGCTTGCGTCTTCTGATACAATTACTTACAGTATCGTGCTCCGTTAGAATACTGTTCTACCCGTTACACTGTATTGAAGCTGTCGATTTTACGCTTTCCTCGCGTCGCGTCCGAAATAATAATAAACAGGAAAAGAGAAAAACGCGAAAAGGCATTGGTATTATACGGGTAGTAGCCTTCTTCGTCACTTCGTTACTTCGCTTATTTTCATGAAACCTCGTCACTTTGATCGCATTTAGGGAAAGTTCGTTACTTTCGATGATTTTCTGTGAAAGCTCGTCAGGTGAGTAAATTCTAATGAAAGTTCGTGAGGTCACAGTTCATTCGATGTTGAACATCCAATGGCACGTTCGACCTTTCCCTTCTACCACTACCACGACCATCGCGCCTGCGCAAGGAATCTGCGGGATCGTCGGCAACGCGTGTCAACATCCAAGACAAAGTATGACATTCCCTTCTGTGCTGCATACCCAACATGGACACAAAACTCGCACCGTGACAAGAGCAGCATCGACATCTCCTTCATTCGGAATTGTGCAGGATGAGGGCGGGCGGTTTCTTATTCAGCATGGCAAGACTACTTCTCCGGTAAGCAGTTGTTTTGGTATTCCATGGCTTGCGTGATGCACGGCCCCGGGCAAACGCAGCACGAGGCGCAGGGGGCTGGAACTGGACGTGTGAACATTGCGGGTGCCGGTGTCGCACTTGAATCAATAGCTTCTGCGCATCGCGTTGCGGCCGGAGACTCCGTCGCGCCGCAGCGACGTGGCAACGGCGCGCGTCGGGGAGCCCTCTTCTACTCCGTGTTTGCTCCTCGGCACCGTCGCTGATTAACGGCCGCCGCAGCATCCGCACTAAGTAATCATAATCATGTACTCACCCACCTTACATATTTTCGCACCTACATACATGTATTTCAGGGCTGCAATTACATATCCGTTAGACCATTGCATTCCTATTGAAAACATGAACTTTTATCTAACTCCCCCACGGGTAGTTTGCGGTATATAAAGTGGTAGGAAGAGGTTCAATGTACATAAAGTGACGAAATTTCAATGGGCTAGCGATAAGTGACGAGCTTTGGCTGAAATTTCGCTGAACTCACGAACATCCATTGAATGCCATCAAACTGACGAACTTACATGAATTTAACCAAAGTAACGAAGTGACGAATTTGGCGCGGACTCTGGCAGTAGTGCGCCGTGCACTACGTCCGCTTTCTGTCCTGGTTTTTTTCGTTTGTAAGTCAGGTAAAATTCTTGTGCATTTTAAAGACACTAATACTGGCGAGGTCGAACTGAGTCAAAGAAAATGGTGCCAGAACGATCTATTCAACGCGAGCCACCTACGTTCTTCAAGGCTGAGTAAACAAACTGTATTAGGAGTATCTAGAACAAGAAGTGGCAAAGATTTAGAGAGAAATAGAGATTGGCCGGATGTGCCCCCTGGCTTGCTGGCCCGCAAGAAGTAGGTACGGAAGAAAGACATAATTAGAATATCATTGATGGCGGAGTGTGTCGCCGGGCTTAGTCATTATAATTAGGGGGGGGGGGGATATATTATACTCGCGTGGTCCACAGACTGAACAACGAGTTTACTATATCAGGGGCCGGCCAAAAAAACGGTGAAGCGTGAATAAAATAAAACCCGGGAGAGGTCAGATGCGAGGGTGTTCTATGCGGACCCAATGAATACTATTCATTCAACCAGCCGGATACGGAGGTAGACAGACTCACAGTTGCTGTAGAAGCCTTCCCGACGTCTGTGTGGGTCCGAACTTGCTGAGCTGCGAGTTGTGTTTGTTGAATGGTGAGATGGCCGTGCTGCACTTCCAGCCGCAGCGCCGATGCAGCCTAAATACCGTTAAAGATTGGTAGCAAATATAAGTGCTTGAACTAAATGTACCAAAAAGTCTCGATACGCGTCATCTAGCTGGGCCTTGATGTTTTGGAGCACCCGCTCGTTGCGGTTGAGGTGCATGACCCGCGAGACACCACCGGTCAGGGTGATTGTCTCCATGCGGCACCGGATCTCGTCGAGTAGCCTGTGTGGCAAAAATATAAGTCCTCAGTGTACCCAAGGTTTGAGGGTCTACGGACAGAGTGAAGCGCTCGATACTCTTAAGCATTGGCAGGGGATTCGCTGAGGCATCGGGACTGCGTCCGCGATGAGGTCAAGAATCTCCTTAGTTCGCAAGGCGATGGCCCGGGCGTCAGATTTGTAATGTTTTGCGCGCTAAATTGTACTTTTTCAGCTTCCTTCCACGGACGGCGAGGAGATCCAAGACCACTAACCTCGGCAATTTCCAACAACGCGACGACGCCCCCGACGGTCTTCAGGGGCGGGAACGCGTCCGCAGATTCTTTCAGTGCAAGTAGGGAGGTCCAGAGTACGTCAGGGATGGTGCTGGCTGTCGCAGGGTTCGCAGTGAGGCTGGAGGGCAAGGGCTTCCGCTTCACCCGCGAGGAGAAGGGAAGCCTCATGGGAGCGACTTGGGACCTCGTAGGGTGTGCTGGGCTTATAAGGCCCGAGTAGGGCTGTGCTCGTAGCATTGCAGACGATTTTGCGTTCCACGTACAGCTCCGCAGCTCTGCGGCGATTGAATGAGCACTTTTTATTTGTACATAAGTAACATAACTTACGGCTCTGGGTGGGCATCAATCGGAACCCAAATAACTGATGTAGTGCTCACGCTTCGAGAAGACAGAATTGAACTGATAAGAACAGTAATATGTTGCCATTGACACTGCACAAGCAGAATAAGAGCAAAACAAAAATATGCACGACAAATTCACGCGGACACCGGGGGTCCGAGAACCCCGTCTGGCGTGTGTTAAAAGAAGAGAAAAAACACAACATTGCCTATTGAACGGGTGATGCACAACTTCAGCACTTCGCGGTGGGCGTGAAAGAGACGGAAAGCAATGAGACCTATGGGGAAACGTTCAGCAGAACGAGAAGAAAACTAATACTAAGTACGCTCTTACTCACCGGTACAAATGAGGTTGATACAGAGTGTGAGGGACACGAAGCCAATTGTGGATTTGAGGATTACGTTTCGAAAGAAGGACCGTCTTCGGGGTTCAATCTTATGAGCCCAACAATGCTCCAGATAGAAATTGCTGTGCGGTGCCATCGTCCTGAGCAGTTAAAGTCAGGAGAAGGCGTACCCAAGTCGGCGAGGAAGAGCATTATTGGAATGGAGATAACCAACCAGCTTCTAGACCATACGATGAAAGTTCGGAAGATCTGATATTTTTCCAAGTCAGGGCAGGGTCCCGCTAGGTCTGACCCCAAATATATCATAGATACGTGAAGGACTTACGATGAAGACATCGACAACTGCAGTTAAGAGGCACCAACAAGTGCTTGAGATGACATCTATCGTTGTGTTTGGCGGTCCGAGCTCCAAGCCAGGGTTGTCTATGTGGCTGCTCGGTATCCGGGGTGGTCCTCGGGGACGAAAGGGGCGACGGCGGGCTCGCGGCCGCGCGTAGAGGATAAGTCGTCCGGGCCGTCGAGGGGGCGGTCGCGCGAGGTGGATGGGGGCCGGATGTTGCCGAGGCCGCCGCGGCCAGAGGAGGTCTGCGTTAGGGTCGTCATCCACACGAGGAGCGAGAGGAGGGGCGACGGCGAGGGAATGTGCGTTAAAAACAAGTAAAAATTAGCAAGGAGGGACAAGGGACGTACGAGGGCTTCACGGCCGCGCGAAGTGGATCTTTCTGCGATTTAGGGACTTGCAAGTATCGCTTTGACCGGGAAGACGGAGGGGAAGCTGAGTGGGCGTCGGGGGAAGAGAGCTCTTTGTACAGCCGAGATTTTCCGGATCTCGCAATTAGCCCAAATTACGACATGTCACGCGCCGGCATATGTCGGGTTTACTGGCCGGCTTGTTCCGATCCGCTTTTCCTCTTCATTTTCTCTTCCGACGTCGACGTGGACAACCTCCAGAAACATGAGCACCTTCAAATGCGTCCGCCACCGCCGTTGCTTGTATTTTCCAGGTAATTGTTGACATCGGCCGACGCCATCCGCCCTTCCAAGCACCCACGCGCACTCGGTGGACATGGGACTCAACATGCTGTGTGCCGTCCACCCGCCGTGATACAATGTCCGCTCGTCACCATTGGTCGATGTCATGTGCGATGTCGCTTGGCGGGGACAGTGTGGATCCGTCCCGTTCCCCGGTGTTCGCGTTCCTGATAAATGAAATTTACGATTTGGTTTCCTATATATCCCGGCTGTCCTGGGGTCCTGGAATCTCGCTCTTCTGTCCGCAAGATCTTCTCTCTGGATCTGGGATACTCTCCTCAACGGCAACTTCTATGTACTCTGGAGTCTGCCCGCTCACCATTTCTTTGTTGTTCCACTATGAATATGTTCAAAATATTCACGCGATCTGCAGCAGAGTTCCCCGGGACGCTCGATTCATCTGTATCTCTGCGGTCTCTCAGAATATGTTGGAAGCTATTTCAAGATTTGGTGCCGAGACGTATTCGCAGCTTCGAAATCGACGGCAGCACCCACTCATTCAGCCATTCAAATACCACCGTGCATCCCTCATCTTCAAATTAATGGACGCCTCCACCGTCTTAATTGACATCATCTCATGCCCCCACCATTTCCAATGCTCTACCAATCCTCGCCTGCATTGCTCCGAATTCGAAACCCCCTGATCTGACTGCTAGTCGCTCGACTCACCGTGCACGCTGTCCTTTTATCCTCTCCTTTATCCCGTCCGCGGATCTCCCCCAAAACCCGTACCTCTCCACACCTGCCTGCCTGCATACAACCCGCGCTCCCATCGCCCCAACTACAGTAGTACGTCGTTCTCTTCCCTGCCTGCAAAACAGCGTTCTCTTTCCTACCTCCAAAACCAAACGAAAAAACGCAAATAAGAACCAAGAAATAAATAAAAAGAGCTCAATTTGGACTATGCGGACGCGGGGAGTCGAACCCCGTCTGGCTGCTTCACATAATAAAGCTTTACAACCATGCATGGCAGCGGTGCGCCGTGCACTACGTCCGCTTACTCTGGCTTATAGGGTATAGGTTACTCCCGCTATGCAGTGCTCCGATGCATCCTGGATCTCGGATCCACGCTGATCTGACGAACGCACGCTAATCCATCTCCACCTCTCCAACCAGAAATGCACGCTAGTCGCCGACTCAAAATGCACGCCAGTTCCTTCGACCAGAAATCCACGTCGCTGGTTTCGCAAACGCGTATGTAGCTCCACGACGGCGTTCTCTCCTGCCCGCGGATCCATCCATCTATCCTAAACTGGTGTGTTGAGAACTGCATATCTAATCGCTGCAACTGCGGTCTATTTTCCTGCCTGCATACCTGCAAATAGAAAACACAGATTAGAAATCGGAAAGAAAGAAAAAAAAAAGATCTTAAATGCGAATGCGGACGCGGGGAGTCGAACCCCGGCTGCTGCTGCTTGACAAGCGAGGAGGCGAAGTTACACATCGCCGTGCACTACATCCGCTTGTTCTCCTGCTTTTTATGGCTTCCAAGTGAGCAGTCAAATAAACGGTTTTTTGTGCATTGGAAGGCACTCACGGGCATACATGAAACGAAACAGAAAAAAGGCACGGATACGAGTGACACATGCGGACGCTGTAGAAGTGCGACTTGTCTCGCACGTCGCCTTCGAGTCCCGAGCCAGCTATGCCATTTGACCAAATATTTTACCACGATGCGCCCGGATTTTGTTTTCCCTTTTCACTCATTCTTCATCCCTCATTTTACCTGTGCTCACACTATTCTCATTCTTCTGCTCTCAGATTTTTTTTCTGGTTACTTGACCACAACTTCGCGCATTTTACATGTGAATCAACTCATCCGATACCCGAAGGACAAGTCTTCATTTAATGAGGAAATATTTTATTCTTGTGTTTCAGACTTTACTTTATATTCTCATACTCACTCCTCTATCTCACACAGACATTCTATATTTTGTTCTACGTACCGATGCGAGAGTCAAACCAAGTCCTCGGGCATCTCGGACTACGCTGGGGATCAATTCGAGATGGCTTGGGCACCCATTCTCGGCGCTGAGTGGGGCAGCGTATATCTCCCTATTCCGTATTTGCGTAGCTCCCGGATTGCTGGGGTTGGGTTTGATTTTAGCTGAGGTTTTCCAACGGACTCTCTTACATACGTCGGTTTATATTTGTTTGTAGGGACCCACATTACGGCACCTTTTTCCTTTGTCTCGTACCACCACCGCAATTATACCCTCTTGCTGAGTACACACGCAAATCCACGTCCCTTTCAACACAATTGAGCTGAGTTATCTATTTTATCCATCTCACTGATCGTTTCACGCGTAGTTTGATTCCCACTTACTCGGCATCCTATTTTTGTTGCACGACTCGGCGCCGCCACCGGCACGACCTGGACACCACTCGGTCCACACCCGGACCACCCTTTTCTTCGACAACGCGGGGAGTCGAATCCCGTCCGATGGCTGCTTGATAGAAATTCAAAAGACCACGTACGGCAGCCGTGCGCCGTGCACCACATCCGCTTCCTCTCCATGTTTTTCTGGCTTGTAGTCAAATAAAGGGGTTTTTGTGCATTTTGTATTAATACTGGCGAAGTCGAATTTTCACTGTAGGGAGAAATCTGGTTCGATACGATACAGCAGGACACGTTTCGCTGTTCAAACCATGCGTTGATGTTGCCAATGATGATCATAGACGCTGCTGCCCGAGGAAATAAAGGAAAAATTGGCAGACGTAGAACGAAACAAAACAACTTAAGACACTGCATATGCGGACGCGGGGAGTCGAACCCCGTCTGGCTGCAGCACATGCTACAGCGTTACAATCATGCATGGCAACAGTGCGCCGTGCACCACGTCCGCTCCGTCTCCTTACTTTCCCTTCCAAGATATCGTGAATTTCTTCAAAAGACGGACAGACGAAAAGAAAAAATTCCTGTATATAATGTAGTGCGTTGTACGTACTACATATGTATCAGGGATATGTGCAAATGGAAGTATGAAAGAGAAATAGAGATTGGCCGGATGTGCTCCCCTGGCTTGCTGGCCCGCAAGCATTGAAGACCGTATACATGTTAATAGATGACGAAAAGAAGTAAGAAAGGAGAGGGGAAATGAAGAATGTTTTGTGACGATGACGGTGTGAAGTCAGATGTTAGTACAATGCTGGAGAGGGGAAACGAGGAATGTTCTGTGACGATGATGGTGTCCAGTTGAATGGTAGTACAGTGCTAATGATCATATGATACACATCAGGGGCCGGCCAAAAAAATGGTAAAACGGAAATAAACGAAACCCCGGGAGAGGTCAGATGAAATGATGTTCTATGCGGACCCAATGAAGTACTGTTTATTCAACCAGCGAGAAAAGGAGGTAGAGGGACTCACGGTCGCTGCAGAAATCTTCCCGATATCTACGTGGGTTTGGGTTTGTTGAGTTGCGAGTTGTGTTTGTTGCACGGTCAGCTGCGTCTGTTGCACCGTGAGAGTGCTCTATGTGGACCCAATAAGTTCACCGTGTATTTAAAGAATCGGAAACGGAGGTAAAGGGACTCACGGTCGTAGCAAAAACCTTCCCGACCTCTATGTGGGTTTGAGCTTGTTGAGTTGCGAGTTGTGTTTGTTGCATGGTGAGCTGCGCCTGCTGTATGGCGATGCGTGCCTGTTGCCTCTCGAGATGTGCTTGTTGCACCTCGAGTCGCAGCGCAGAGGCAGCCTGCTGCGCGGCGATGCGTGCCTGTTCCGCTTCGATTCGCAGCGCGGAGGCAGTCTGAAATTAGAATGATATTGAGGACAGCAATCGGGTTTAAAGAATATTCAAAACGCACCGAGAAGTCGCGATACGCGTCCTCGAGCTTGGCCTTAATATCTTGCAGTGTACGCTCGTTGCGGTTGAGGTGCACAACGCGCGAGACGCCACCGGTCAGCGCAATTTCCTTCATGCTTTCTCGGATTTCGACGAGCAGCCTAGCTCACGTATCAAGCTCTGCTCCGTACGAGGTGCGGAATAGATGAACGCACGCAGTGAAATGGTCGATACTCTCACGCATCGGCCAGGGGATGGCTGGGGCGGGACCGACTGCAGCCTTGATGACGTCGAAGATTTCCTTCGTCCGCAATGCAATGGCGCGGGCATCAGACTTGGAATGTTTCGCGCGCTAAATGAATGTACACCATATTAGCTTCGTTTCGTGCAACCTCTGCGGGGAAATCTACTGACCTCGGCAATTTCTAACACCGCGATGACGCCTCCTACAGTGCTCTTGAGAGGCGGGAACGCATCCGCGGATTCCTTGAGTGCGATGATGGCTGTCCAGAGTACGTCGGGGAGGGCGCTGGCCTTCGGCCGGGTCGGTCTCGTGCTGGCAGGCGAGGGCTTCCGCTTCGCCCGCGAGGGGAAGGGAAGCCGCATGGGAGCGACTTGGAGGGTCTCGAAGGATTTAGAGAGCTTATAAGGTGCGAGTTGGCTGTGCATCGAACATTCCAGGAAAGTATATTTAAACGTCGAGCGTCTCTCGTACAGCTCTACGACAACCCTGTTGATCAACACCGTAATTAATCCAGTGCCCAGAATTCGAGAACATGCAGTGTATTTGACAGGTTTGTGATTCCACCGCGCCCAAAGAATGCTGTTGAAGCAAGCAAGTAGTTCCCCTAAAGTCTCTGTCCTGACCAAGACTGGATGCGAAAAGACGAATTTGGACCTGGAAAATAAGCAATGCCGTCGGGTAATCACAGATGGAACCTGCTGCCGACGGGAATGGGTGGCGCTGGGCGCTTGGGGAGTGCCGAAGAATTTCCAGAGCTGTGGTTCTGAAATTTGGGTAGCAACAGAACGATCCTATAGAAGATGCAAAACAGCAACGCGGGTTTTGCCGTAAGTCGATATTCTTGGTCCAGGCTGTAATAGCAGATGCTGCTTGAGAGCATCCAAAGAGATAAGGACAGGATGCAAGCAGTAGCGTTCGCCTTATCAACCAGGGCTGCGACACGGAAACGCGTTGGCGTAAGAAAGGAGGCCGCACCAAAAAAAGACACGCGAACACCCACTTGTGTTGAAATGACGGTCTTTGGAGAGACAAAAATCAGCTTGACTCGAGCCCATACGATCGAGGTGCTTACAGTTTCCGCTCGGCAAAATCCCACGTGAAAACGAAAGATGGGGAAAAGTTGCCAGACCACGATCACGATGTGCGTCATCCAGCACTGGATTCTGGCCAGGTCTTGAGTGCGACGGATGTCCAGCCTATATGTATAGCAAGATGGGAGGAAGGTCCCGATTTAGGATTTCCACCCGTGAAGTAAGACTTCGGTCCGGGTTTGCGCGGGAGCGGCAGGGAAACCGCAGTGGGCAAAGTGGCAGGTCGGATTACACCTCAGCTTCCACGCGGGCTATACTCGAGCGTCAGGGAAGACGATCTTTCTGTCATTCGGCGGTGTGGCTATCGCTTTGATCGGGAGGTCATAGGAAAGGTGCGAGGAAGTTGCGAGGTGAGGAACTTGCAGGAACTTGTTGAAGACTTCAAGACTTGCTTCAAGAAGCGATGACGCGGCCAGGTCACGCGATGGCATATGTCGGCTGCGTCGGCCGGTTTGTTCCGATCCGTGTTTTCTCTTCCGACGTCGACGTGGACAGCCTCCGAAACTTGCGTAGCTTCAAGTGCGCCCGCCACCGCCGTTGCTTTCAGTCCCCAGGTAATTTCCGAGCCATCCGCCTTCTAGGCACCGAAACCCACGCGCACTCGGTGGACATGGGACTCGACATGCTGTGTGCTATCCACCCGCCGTGATACAATGTCCATTCTGCGATGCGTGTCATGATGTCCGCTCATCGCTATTGGCCCATGTTATGTGCGATGTCGTTTGGCGGGGACAACATGGATCCATCCCGCTCCCCGCTGTTCGCGTTCCTGGTAAATGAAATTTACGGTTTGGTTTTCTATATATCCCGCCTATCCTGGAGTCCTGGAATCTCGTTCTCTCCGCAAGTTATTCTGTGCAAATCTGGGCTACTCTCCGCTGCCGCTTACCCTCCGACCATGTTGTTCCTTGCCATACAATTCCCGATGATAAACCTGATTTTGTTCAAGATATTCACGCGATCTGCAGCAGAGTTCCCCGGGACGCTCGATTCATCTAGTATCCTTGCGGTCGCCCGCTATATCTTAGAATCTATTTCAAGACTTGGTGACGAGACGTACTCGCAGCCCCAAAAATCGACGGCAGCACCCATTCATTCAGCCGTTCAAATACCGCCGTGCATCCCTCATCTTCAAACAAATGCACGCCTCCGTCAATCCTCGCCGTGGTGCTCCAAATCCAAACACCCATCTCTCTGACTTGTAAGTTCACGCTACTTAGTCCTAGTCTCCCGACTCACCGTGCACGCTGTCCCCTTATCCTCTATCTCGAAATGCATGCTATCCTCCGACGTTCAAGTACCCACTACCACCCTAATTCGAGCCTGACCTTCGCTCCTTTATCCCGCCCGCGGATCTCCCCCAAAACCCGTACCTCTCCACACCAGCCTGCCTGCATATAACCCGCGCTCCCATCGCCCCAACTATAGTCGTACGTCGTTCTCTTCCCTGCCTGCAAAATAGAGTTCTCTTTTCTACCTCCAAAACCACACGAAAAAACGAAGAAATGAATAAAAAAACGCGATTCGGGCCTATGCGGACGCGGGGAGTCGAACCCCGCTTAGCTGCTTACTTAGGCTATCGCGGTCAACAATGCATGGCAGCGGTGCGCCGCGCACCACGTCCGCTTACTTTGGCTTATAGGTTACTCCAACAAGCCAGTGCTCCGACCCATCCTGGATCTCGGATCCACGCTGATCTGACGAACGCACGCTAATCCCAATCCTGGTCCATTGCTCCAACTAGAAATACACGCTAGCCGCCGACTCCCAGCTCCTTCGACCAGAAATCCACGTCGCCGGTTTCGCAAACGCGTGTGTAGTTCCACGACGGCGTTCTCTCCCGCCCGCGGCTCCATCCATCTATCCTAAACCGGTGTGTGTTATGTTTGTCAAGAACTGCATATCTCATCGCCGCGCCTCCGTTCTCTTCCCTACCTGCATACCTGCAAAACAGAAAACACAGATCAGAAATATAAAATAAAATAAAATAATCCAGAATCCAGAATGCGGACGCGGGGAGTCGAACCCCGTCTGACTGCTTCACGATAGTCAGGTATCGTGAATTTTTTTGAGAAGAAAAAAAATGTCTAGATATCAATTGGGGTATGTTGTTTGACACTAATGTTACATACAAAACGAAGTAGGCTCGAATCCAGCCTGTCTATGAAAGCAAGCTTGTCGATAGACAGGCTGGTCGATCTGAGTTTGAATTACCATCACGCGCGAGATTCCATAACGGGCCTATTTGTAAGCAATATTTGGCGGGGCGGTTTCGAATCCTAACAACAGCAATCTTCACAAAAAATATTATTTTGAGTTAAGTGCTTTGAATTTTCAATTCGGGTAAGGACTGGGAGCTCAAACAAGGTTCTTAGAGTGCCATAACGTCTCAATTACAATATATGTACAAGACAGGCTGGAGAACGGACATTGCTTACAAATAGGCCCGTTATGGTATCGCGCGTGATGGGATTTCAAACTCAGATCGACTGGTCTGTCTATCGACAGGCTTGCCTCCATAGACAGACAGTTACTGGTCTATATGTGAGAAAGGAGCATCAAATTTATTATTATCGTACCACAGTCGGGGAAGAACACAACGGCGCCGACGGGAATCGGGGCTTGGGGCAGTGTCGAGGGGTTCACGACCGCAAATGAAGGACAGCACCGCAGATGAAGAACCGTGTGCAATCCGATAGAGGTGAATGAACGATCGATACACG